GGGGTCATCGGCATTTGAGTGCTCAGGGAGACAAATGAAGTTTCTCGTGGAGGTGATTGAAAAGAAGATGAGGCCTGAGGTAGAGCCTGGGGTGCACTACTAACCTTTGGTGCAGGCACAGGAAGAGGAGTCCGCGAAGGGGGCCAGGACACAGAGCCAGAGAGGCAGGAAGAGTGAGCAGTATCGAGTGCTACAAGAGAACACTTCAGATAAGCAGGGAGGAGAATTGTGACGATCTTACTGTAAGTCAGTGCCGCTCTCCTTCAACGGAAGTACATTTTGGTAGGATGAGCACTCCGCCAAGGTGAGAAAGTAGCATCGATGGATGTAGTCAGTTTTAAGGAGTTTTGCAGGATGAGGGAGAAAAGCCACCGGCAGGCAGGGGCATGGGGGTGGGGGGTGGGGGAACCTGAAGGAATTCCTCTTGCCTCGTTTCATAATTTTTTTCTGTGAAGTCGGAGGCAAGGTCGCGTGTCAGGAGTCCGGGAGGCGGTAAGGATTGGGTAGGAGAATGGTGGAGGTGGTGTTAGTAGCTGGGAAGATTGGTCAGAAGCAAGCAGAAGACAGCGGGGTTTCATTGAAAGTAATGAGACTGGATAGCATTTTTTTGCAGTTGGGTGGCCCTGCGTGGTTATGTGATCTTGTCTCACTCAGTAGCCTCAGAGAGCAGAGAAGTGGAATGTGGGAGCCGTCCAGGTTGGGCCGATGGGCTAGACGGAGAGCAGAGCTAGGCTTTTACAGGAAAATTAGTGACCAGTCTTTGGGTTCATATGCAGTTAGGCAAGAAGGGACAAAGTGACATCTCTCCATTTTTCTCATTTGTCACTGCCGTCATCCTAGTCCAGCTCACCATCATGTCTTTGCGATAATTTCCCAGCCAACTCTCCTTAGAGCCATGTGCTCCTTCCACAGTCTTCTTCCCACTACAGCCAGGTGGATCTTTTGATATTTCAAATCTTATCATGTCCTGTCCCTACTAACGTCCCTTCAGTGGCTTCTCATTACTTCTAGGATAAAATCTCAATCTTTAACAGGGTCACTAGGCCCCTCCTAATCCTCATTTCATACCATTCTCACCTCTGTGTTTCTTCCTGCCGCAGAACGTTGAGCCAGTTTTTCTCTGGAGTATTCTTTCTTTCCCATTTTGTCTCTAATTTTTACTCATTCTTTTTTTTTTTAATATTTATTTCTAGGAGAGAGAGAGAGAGACAGCGTGAGCAGGGGAGGGTCAGAGAGAGTGGGAGATACAGACTCTGAAATAGGCTCCAGGCTCTGAGCTGGCAGTCAGCACAGAGCCCGATGAGGGGCTCGAACCCACGAACCGCGAGATCATGACCTAAGCGAAAGTTGGACGCTTACCCGACTAAGCCACCCAAGTGCCCCAATTTTTACTCATTCTTTGGTCCTTAGGTGTAAAATCACTTCCTTGGGAAAGCGTTTTCTGACTCCCCGTAGGAGATAACACCCATTTCTCGAGCATTTCTTTGTTATGATATTCTGTACAATTTTATGGGGTTTTCCCCCCTCCAGACTGGAATCTTTGTGAGGATAAAGATTGTATCTTATCTAGTTCATTGTTGCCTTTCTAATCCTGACCACAGTGCACATAGTAGGCACTCCATAATTTTTGTTGAATTTGTGAATAAGGTGGTTAAAGAATTGAACGTCTCACTGAGTGTTATGTAGAAACTAATTTGACAATAAACTATTTGTAAAAAAAAAAAAAAAATTGAACGTCTTAGTCTGAGGTGAGGTTATCTTGAATTAAGAGAGCAGGTTTAGTAGTAGAGAGGGAAGGCTGGAAGGAAGACAAGGTTGTAGCCAAAGTAAGGCGTGGGAGGTTGAAGACATAGAGGTAGAGTCCTTTTAGGAGATGGCAGGGCCCAGGACTGAGGTGTTGGGGTGGAGCTGAAGGTCTTAGCGTTTGATGAGACTATGAAACTCTTCTGGCAGAAACAGTTGGATGGATTGTTGGATGGGAGTTGAAGTTGCCAAGGAAAATGATAGGATATAAAGTGAGGGCAATAGAAGGCAGGAGTATAGGCCTTTAATAAATATGAGAGATAGGCTCCACCCTTTCCTATGGTGAAAGAATTCAGTGGGTAAGAATCAGCATTGTTTGGGGTTCAGTAACGCCATAGTGCCTTGGAGGGGGGCAGTGTGGTGCGGTAGAGAGAGCCTGTGTCCAAAATATCTGGGTTCAAACTTTGGGCGACCCACCTGACTTTTCAAGCCTTATTTGTTCCTTGTTTGTAAACAACCCATGTGTGTGTGAAGAAACGCTTTCTCTAATCCTTTTCTGTGAAAATGCCATCATTCTTGGGAGTAGATTTTATTCTTCCAGAGAAGAGAACAAAGGCCATTATGTGAAGATTACAGAGGGAGGTGGGCTGGTGATTTAGTTCAGAAAAGCACGTCATAACCAATTAGAGCTGTCCAGCAAGAAGACGGACACGTGGCACACACGGTGGCGGAGGAACGAGTTCTCCATCAGAGCTTGCATCTGCGTGGTGTCCGGTGATTTCTCTGTCAGAGATGCAATAGAAGGGTTCCCGCAACAGGGACAGACACTGGATTACATAATCTCTAAAGTCTGTGCACTTGGAGGATTGGAGGGTTTTGATTCCAGTTGAGATTTGTCTAAACACCATTCAATCAACAAACGTTTGAGTGCCTCCTCTGCTTTGTGGGAAAGTTTGAAAGCCAGCGTTTACTTTACTTGCTTCATGTGCACCACATTGCTGAGGACTATGTGTCTTCACCTGTGTCACGGGTATTTCCTACTTGGAATTTGGGAAGCTCAAGGCTGCTTTGGTGGTGATGTAACAAAAGCCACTGTCCTCTCCTGGCAGGTGGGGTTTGGGTGGAGTCGGGGGCTGCACCTGGAGGCAGCAAGCAGAAGAATGTGCTGCCAAGAACGTTTGGTTTAGCAATTTGAATTTTTTAGCCAGTCATTCTAGGTAATGTTGGGCCTCTGGATTATGTTTCAGAACTAATTTTTGAAAAGAATGACCTACTCTGTTGGCAGACGAGGTCTCTGATGCCATGGGATGGCAGAGATGGTTTTCACTGGTGCCTTAGTCCCGGGCGCCCATGTCTGGCTGGGAAATTGCCGACTCGTGTGTGACTTAGTCACCTCTCCTCTGCCAAGCATTGGACTGCTGGCTGCTATGTGCATGATTATCATGTGTCTCCCGCATTCTTTCAGGATATTCAAGTGGCCGTCCTAAGTTCCTTCATATATTTTTTTCCAAAGAGAGAAGATTGAAATTCATTTTGCAGCTCTGCCCTTGGCTGGGCATTAGTCACACTTTGGCTACAACCATCTCCTGTGGCCTCAAAAACAGGGACCAAATGGGCTCGGAGAAGAAATTCTCGTCTGTCTCGGGGGAGGGGGAAGCCACTCGTTCATGTATGAATCCTGAAGGAATTTAACTCTCCAGTATAAATGGTAAGAAATGAATTTCTAACTTGACAGTTTGAATGTGAGGGAAGTCGGGCCAAAAGTTCCGTATGCATCGGCAGCCTTTTCTGACCATCGCGATAGTGAAATGGAAGGAAGTTAGACGTTGGTAGTGTGTAGACTAAAGGAGAGTGTCAGGATCATGTCAGGCTCTAGCGGTTCATTATTTTTTAAACCCGGAAGGATCTTGGAGGTCATCAAATGCAGACCTAGGCAACTGAAACCCCAAAAGTGATTTGGCCGAAGCCACCCAGCCAGCGTATACAGGTGTGGGTGAAAATCCTCCGATACAGAGGTGGTGGAAGTAGTGACGGTACAGATGATGTCTCTTCAGAAGGTAGAGTGTCTGAAACTTGGGAAGATGGACTGGGACCATCTAGAAATAGAGGGATTATATGAAGTGTGAGGGACCCTGGAATTTCTCATCTGCTAAGTTGAGCCGAAAACTGGTTGGTTTGGTGGCGGCTGGTGCGGAGGTCCACTTCATCTTTTAACCTTTTACTCAGGCATTTATCGACTGCCTCAATATTTGTAGATGGTACGTTGAGTGTTGGGGTTACAACTATGAGTAAAACATGTGTTACGGTTCCTCGGGAGCAAGCCATCTTCTCTAGAGGAGTGTAAACCTGTCTCATGTGGCGGCATTTGGCTAGAGGTTGTTCTTCGCTTTGCTCTTGCTTCCTCGGCTGAGTCTGCTAACTTCAGAGGAACGTGGATCAGTGCCAGGTTATCAGGTCAGGGACAGAATTTCTGCCAAAGTCAAGTCTGCAAGAGGAGATCTTTTTCAGGTGAACGTATTCAGTTCATTTGTCCTGGGTGGAGAGAGGCATGTTTCCTGGGTTCATGAAGTTAATGGACAAAAACGGACTTCTGTGTACCTCTGGGATCTCTACTCTGCCTTGCATAATAGCTTATTGTTTCATTTTGAGTAGTTTTAGTGGTCTGTTTGCTCCTTCCGTGTCCTCAGCCCGCCTTGGAACCCTAGTGCGCTCTGAAGTGATTCAGTGTATAGTATTCATTCGTTGCTCCTCCGTTCGTCCAGCAAATATTAATGAGGGCCTGTATGCCAGGCACCATGCCAGGCGATACATGTGGAGGACATACTAGTGAACAAGACACACAGGCACTCAGCTTTCAAGAAACTTAAATATTAGAGCAGGAGACGAGACAGCAACTAACTAAAATTATTTCAGGGTGCATCGAAAGCCAGGAAGGAAATAAACAAGGTGGGGGTCTCTTCAGGGTGGTAGCCTGCTGTTTCCCACTAGGAGTTTGGATGAACAGACCGATGGAGGCAGATGGAGTACTCCAGAAAGGTAGAAGAAAAGCCTCGAAAGTGACATTGAGTTCCATGATTAATTTAGTAGTTAAGAAATTAATGAGGAATTAGGAAAGTAAATGTTGCTCTTTGTAATGAATTCAAATGAAATGAAGGAGGCAGGATAGGCTCCCCATTTGGTTAGGAAGCTGCCGAAACCGGGCCGGGATCATCCTGTCCCAGCGTAATGTGAGCCTTCTGTGTCTATTTCCTCCTCAGGTGGAGGGCTGAGTTTTGATCTATGTCCACCCTATCTCAGCTGCCTGAAAGTACTTAATGATCACATGACCCTGGACATGGATGCTGTCCTGTCGGATTTTGTCCGTTCCACAGGCGCAGAGCCTGGGCTGGCCCGAGACCTCCTGGAAGGTAAGGAGTTGTGAGGGGGAGCATGAGAAGAGGGAAAGGCAAGGGCTCTAGTTGGGGCACCCCGGGGGGCTCAGACAGTTAGGCATCCGACTTCGGCTCAGGTCATGATCTCGTGGTTTGGGAGTTCGAGCCCCACATCGGGTTCTCTGCTGACAGCTCAGAGCCTGGGGCCTGCGTTGGATTCTGTCTCCCTCTCTCTCTACCCCTCCCCCGCTTGTGCTTGCGCACATGTGCTCGCTCTCTCAAAAATACATAAACATTATGAAAAATTAAAAAAATAAATAATATGCTATAAGGATGACTTGGAACATTAAGGTTGATCAGAAAGATACTTCGTGTACAGCAGGCCTTCCATTGAAGTTGCTTCTAAAAACTTTCTGTGTGTGACAAATGTTTTAAAATGCAAAGTTCCCTCTTTACCTTGAATGTTTGGGGTAGCTTTCTCAAGTGTCAATTTGTGCTGTGTTAAGGCAAGTGAAATTTTGTGTTTGTCTACGAAAAGCATAATTCTAGGTCTGTAAGCCTTCCTCTTTATAAAAATGACTTTTGGGTTTTCGTGTTTGTAATCATACAGTTTTGTTTCTTTCCCTCCCTAATTTGTCTAGATGGTTCTTTGTAGAGTGAGTTCAGTTAACGTTCTCATTTTGCTGCCTTTGTTTACTCATATCTGCGTGTACACCTAAGTGTGGACATTCTAAACTTTAAGATCCTCAAGGCTTGGAATCATGTCAGTAGGATTCTTTGTTTGGAGTCATAATTAACAGATGTTTTTTGATGATGGAAGTAGATAATGCTACACGTGGGTAGGTTGGTGGGGCAGCAGCAGGTTCTTAGCATCCAGTCTGATGTTTTAGACTGTTAGCCCTTAGTGACATGCGGCCATTTGACATTTGCTTCTCCCTGTTAGTTAGGAAGTGGAAGGTCCAGGTTCAAACCCCAGTGTGCTAATTCAGGATGACTCTGCCCTTGGCTGGCACTTTCCCTTTTACTTCCTGCCACTTTTGTATGTTTCGGCCCAGTCCAACTTGTCACCTTTCCCTGGTCACATTGTTTTCGAAGCCTGCGGTGTCTCTTCCTTCCCTAGCCTCCCAGAATTCTCCTCATCCTTCAGGCTTCAGCTCACATGCTTCCTCTTCCTCTTGTAGCATGTGTCGAATGCTGTATGTATTCAGTATGTGTGAGGTCCTTGAGGTGACATCGCTTTATTCTTGTGGTTACTCTGTATTATAGGTTTTATTATCCCACTTTTACAGGTTTAAAAACTGCGGTTCCGGGAGGTTAAGTAGGGCTTGAACTCAGGCAATCTGGTTTCAGAGGCTGACTCTTAACAATCCCGTTACAATGAATATTTATCTACTCTCTCTCCTCCCATTCACTCTCGCTCTCTCTCGCGCGCGTGCACACACCCCCACACTTCTGTGTTATGAAGGAAAAGTTGAGTTGGAAGTATAAGAGAGAAACCTAATTTAGATATAGGATACAGAAAGGGCTTTCTGAGAAAGTGGCATTTGAGCTGAGCCCGACAGGGCGCGTGGGAGTAGCAAGACAAAGGACGGAGATGAGAGTGTTGACACAGAAGCTTCTGCAAGGACCCCAAGGTAGAAGGGAGTTGGGCACGAGGAGGAGGAGTGGGGCGAGAGTGGTAGGAAATGGGTGGAGCGGCAGCAAGCAGACTATGGGGTCTTTGTAGACGGTGCTGGGGGGGGGGGAGTTTAAATTGCATTCTGTGTTCAGTAGGACGCTGGGGAAGGGTTGTAGTCAGGGGAGTGACGTGGTTGGACTTGGGCTTCGGTTGAAGGATATAGAACAGACTGGAACGTGGCTAGGGAAGCAGTCAACCCAGTTAAGTTGCCACAGCGGAGGTGAGCGATGGCAGTGGTGCTGGGGCAGCAGAGAGAGAAGTGGACGGATTGGAGATAGGATTTAGGGGCCGCCTGGGTGGCTCAGTCAGTTAAGTGTCTGACTTTGGCTCAGGTCATGATCTCATGGTTCGTGAGTTCGAGCCCCACATCAGACTCTGTGCTGACAGCTAGCTCAGAGCCTGAAGCCTGCTTCGGATTCTGTCTCCCTCCCTCTCTGACCCTCCCCTGCTCACGCTGTCTCTCTCTCTCTCTCAGAAATAAATAAAACATTAAATTTTTTTAAAGATAGAATTTAGAAGGGAAATCAGAGGGCCTGATCCTCATTTTTCCCCCCTGCCTCTGTCTTTCTCTCTTGCTTTTTCTTTCAAAGCTGGCTTTGGTTGTAGCATAAAGAACAGATTTGAGAGGTGACAATAGACACGGACAGGAAAGAACAGATTTGAGAGGTGGGTCCTGACTAGGTAGTAAGGGAAGAGCAGGTGTCTAGTTGAGTAGCGAGGAGCTGAGGAGCTGAAGACGATGGAAGTTTCTGGCCTGGAGGACTTGTGATGCCATTACCAATTTGGGGAATGTAGCAGGAGACGAAGCAGGTCTTAGGAAGGAGGCTGACGGGCATTCAGTTTTGGACAAGTTGGTTGTTGGGAGGGCCTGACTGGAGGAGCTTACCGCCCAGATGGAAACACAGAGCCAGGGTTCCGTGCGGCATTCTCTATTTCCAGCCGTGTGGCAACCGTTCATTCGTTCATCTGTTGAGCCAGGAAAAAAGTCCTCCATCCTCCAACAAATATTTATGAAATGCCTGCCGTGTACCAGGTTCTAGGTGCTTGAATAAAACAAAGCAAACAAAAATTGCCGGCCTTAACATGCTGGCAGGAAAGACAGTCACCGGGTAATAAACACGACAACCACGTCAGTGTAAAGTATGTCACGGGGGACAAAGTGCTGTGGGAAGTGGGAAGGGAAATGGTGAGATAGCTCGTGACTTTTACTTGGGTGGTCAAGGCTGGCCTAATTAGGACTGTGACATTTGAACAGATACCTGAAGAAGACGAGGCGTGGTCCATGTAGATAAATTGGGGAAGGAGCCCCCCGGCAGTGGGATAGGTGTGGGAAATGTAAAGGCAGGAGCCGTGTTAGCATGTTTGTGGGTACGGCAAAGGGGCCGAATGACCGAAGCAGTGTGAGCAAAGGGAGTTGGAAGACGTGAATGTAATGGTTCAGAAGTAAATTCATTAGGCATTAATGATTCAGGCAGCTTAACCGGAGAATTATAATATCAAGACATCACAGCACCAAGCAATAAAGACATATATGAAGCTTTCTGTGAATCAGGGCTTTTAATTCATTTGTCTCCGTAACAACCCTGCATGGAATCATCTCCATTTTCATAGCCAGGGAAATTGAAGCACAGAGAAAAGCCTGGAAAAGTAGGCCAGGTCATAGGGGCGCCTGGGTGGCTCAGTCGGTTAAGTGTCCGACTTTGGTTCAGGTCATGATCTCGGTGGTTTGTGGGTTCGAACCCCACAACAGCTTGGTCAGACAGAGCCTGGAGCCTGATTTGGATTCTGTGTCTCCTACTCTCTCTGCCCTTCCCCCCACTTGCACTCTGTCTCACTCTGTCTTTCAAAAATAAATAAATGTAAAAAAAAAAAAAAAAAAAAAAAAAAAAGTAGACCAGGTCATAGAAAGCCTTGAATGTCAGACACAGGAGTCTAGCATTTATTCTGTAGGCAGTGGCAAGCAATTAGCGATTTTGATTGTGGAATTGAAATGATCAGAACTGTGCTTTAGGGCACCTGGGTGGCTCATTTGTTAAGCATCTGACTTTGGCTTAGGTCATGATCTCACAGTTCGTGAGTTCAAATCCCACATTGGGTGAGCTTGTGCCTCGCAACAGGTGAACATGAGCCCCACTTCAGATGAGCCCTGGTTCTCTCTCTCTCTCCCCTACTCCTCCCCTCTCTCCCCCTCTCCCTCTTTTTCTCTGTCTCCCCTTCCCCTCCTGCCCCTTGCTCACTTGCACTCTCTCTCAACAACAAAAAAAGAACTGTGCTTTAAAAAGATTAATCTAGGGCACCTGTGTGGCTCAGTCAGTTGGGTATCTGACTTCAGCTCAAGTCATGATCTCATGGTTCATGGGTTCGAGCCCTGCGTCAGGCTCTGTTCTGGAAGCTGTCTTCGGATTCTGTGTCTCCCTCTCTCTCTGACCCTCCCCTGCTCACGCTGTCTCTATGTGTCTCTCAAAAATAAATAAAACATTAAAAAAAGTTTTTTAAATAAAAAGATTAATCTCACGGGATACTTTAGAGTGGATTGGTGGGACACTGGGTGATAGAAATTGAATTAAGCAGGTAGCAGATGGAATAGAAGAGAAAGAAGTGTGAACGATTATGCTGTAACGTGATTTATTGAGTAACATAACTGGAGAAAGTAACAGAAAAATCTTATGATAAATCTACCATGTAGGATCTTTTCTTCAGTAGAGTAGTGATTCTTACATTTGAGGGCCGTTAACAATTCCTTCTGATAATCTGATGGCAGCTGCCAGCTCTTTCTGTAGAAGAACGCATGTCCCTGTACCTTTGTATACAGTTTCAGATGGCTTAGGACATCGCACAGCACAGCTCGGCTAAGAACTCTCTGAGTTCCGGAACTGAGACCTGGGCTTTCGTCATACTTGTCCCTGGTGCAAACTAGCTGTGCATTTGGGCAGGTCATTCTTTCTTTACGCTTCCTCTGTTTTATCCGTAAAACAAGGTCATTAGGTCTGTGTGGGCCCCTTCGGTCCAGGGACAAAGTCAGTGCTCACAGAGCTGACTTAGGCAATAGACAACAAGTAAATAAGAAATTGTGAGGGGCGCCCAGCGGGCTTAGTCGGTTAAGCGTCTGACTTCGGATCAGGTTATGATCTCGCGGTTCGTGGGTTCGAGCCCCACGTCAGGCTCTGTGCTGACAGCTCAGAGCCTGGAGCCTGTCTTCGGATTCTGTGTCTCCCCCTCTCTCTGACCCTCCCCTGCTCACGCTCTCTCTCTCTCAAAAATAAATAAAATATTGGGGCGCCTGGGTGGCTTAGTCGGTTAAGAGTCCGACTTTCGCTTAGGTCATGATCTCGCGGTTCGTGGGTTCGAGCCCCGCGTCGGGCTCTGTGCTGACTGCCAGCTCAGAGCCTGGAGCCTGTTTCAGATTCTGTGTCTCCCTCTCTCTCTGACCCTCCCCTGCTCACGCTGTCTCTCTCTCTCTCAGAAATAAATAAAAAAAATTAAAAAAAAAATAAAATAAATAAATAAAATATTAAAAAAAAAAAGAAATTGTGGGACTGCGCACCGACGTGTTCATGAAGAACGTTAGAGCAGGAGGGTGGGTGACAGGCGCTCGTGAGTACACGCCTGCTAGTTTCGAGACGGTGGTTTGAGTGACCGTCCTGTGTCCTGCCTCAGTTTCCCTGTACCTGTTGCTTTGTGTCCTGCCAGGAAAGAACTGGGACGTGAGTGCCGCCCTCAGCGATTTTGAACAGCTACGTCAAGTCCATGCTGGGAACCTGCCTCCCTTTAGCGAAGGGAGCAGTGGCCCCAGGACCCCCGAGAAAGGGTTTTCTGATCGAGAGTGTGCCCGCCCCCCCCGGCCCGCCCTCCAGAGGCAGGATGACATCGTTCAAGGTACTGGGCTCACTCAGGGGTGTTGCCATCGGTGGAGTGGGAGGGAAGAGAGGGGACGCTGAGTGGAGTCACCCTTTGGAGATGAGCCTCTTCTTCCCCTGCTCCCCTGCCAGACTGACCAGAGCTGGCCTCAGGGCGTCCCGGTGCGTCCTGGGAATGACCCTCATGCAGGCGCTGCACTGCCTCACTGCGTCTGGAGTGTTATCTGTGCCAAGGCCTTGTGTAGGTACTGGCAGAGAAACAGAGGAAGACCAATCTGGTGGTTGTGCTAATAGACGTGAAGGTAAACTTCAAAGGCTCACTGCCATTCTTGGTGAATATTGGTCAGTACCTAGCCAGATTTGAAAATGCGTGTTCACTCTGACTCAGCAGTTTGATTTCCAGACATGTATCATATATGCATATGTGCACGTCCTTTCAGTAAATATATACACGTATATGTAAATAGACACATACACGTATGTAGCGTAAAGCTGGGAAGTTAAAGCTTGGAAAAAAAAGGAAAAGTTAAAGCTTGAAAACAACCTTTAATGCCCACTAATAGAGGAGCAGGAAAATAGATTAAAGTCTTCTATGCTGTGGAGGACACTGCGGCCACTGGAAATATTTAAATAGGACTTGATGTGCTGTTTTTGAAACATCTCTGAAACCTATTGAGAAAAAGGTAAGATGCGGTAGCGTTTATATAGTATGTTCTTGTTTGTTTTTAAAAACGATTTTAAAAGTTATATGTGCTTCTGTGCGCATCAGAAATTCTAGAAGAATCCAAAAGTTTGCTTCGGGGAAAGGGATCAGAAATTTTGAATACGAGGGAGATTTCTTTGTAATACTTTACACCTCTTGATGGTATTTTGATTTTTTACCATGGGCTTATGGTCCTTTTTAAATACTGAAAAAAAATAGCTTAAAAAAGAACATCACGATAAAGTGACTTTAGCCAACTCTTGACTGACTTTGTGCGTCATTTCTGGCAAGTATTATATTAAGAACTACTTCCCGACACAATTTTTAGCGATTTTGACAATTGTGATGTAACTCAAGTCATGCCAATGAACTGTGATATGACACTGAGCAGATTATGATCATAGAATATCTGCTGGGGAACTCAAGTCCCCTGGAACCTACACAAATGAAATGATTTGGGGCACTACCTATATTATTGTCTTTCTCTGTCACATGTTAAGTAAGAATGGCTGAACCTATAGATTTCTGATAAATATGAGTATCAAGAAAAGTTGTAGTAAATAATATAAGTAAATGATCTCGATGGTAGATAAGAAAGTTCCTGGATGTGTAAGGTTTGTCGATCATTTTCTATAATGGAACTTCTTTCCTGTATTCCCCAAACAGTGGGGATTATCAGAGGGATTACTTGATTCAGTCTGGCCAAACGAAAACCACACTTCCCCTGTTCCCCCCTTTTCCTACCAACCAATGACAAGTTGCCAAATGAGTGAGTCCCTATTTACATTGGGAAGTGGAAATGAGAGAAGATAGAGTCATGGGCGGGGAGTTGAGGCAACTTCTCGTGAAAAGGGTAGAAAGAGGAATGTGTGTTTGGTGCTAATAGAAGCGCTTGCAAAAATACAGCTTTCTAGATTTCTCCAGTTGTATTTGGCTTGAGAAAGAGGGTTGGGAGATGTGGTAGCCAGTTAGAGTCAGCTGTCTCCTGACTGGAAGAGGTAGTAACCCTTGTCAAGAGGTAACCGTTACCAGGCAGGTGGAGAGTTCTCTGGCCTGATGTATGTTCTAAGGTGACTCTGTTTCTCGTTGCAGAAAAACGCCTGTCTAGGGGCATCTCCCATGCCAGCTCCAGCATTGTTTCCCTGGCCCGGTCGCATGTCTCCTCCAATGGGGGCGGTGGCGGGAGCAGTGAGCACCCCCTGGAAATGCCCATCTGTGCCTTCCAGCTTCCCGATCTCACCGTGTACAACGAAGACTTCCGCAGCTTCATAGAGAGAGACCTCATTGAACAGTCCATGTTGGTTGCCTTGGAGCAGGCAGGTCAGTGGGCGCCGCTCTTCCCAGGCTCCTCCCTCTGCTTCCCCTGGAGGCAGCCACGTGGAGGTGCTGTCCTTGACCGGTAGCCTCCAGTCTCCTTGTGGGATCTGACTGCAGTCCGAGTTCAGAGTCAGTCAGAGAAACATGTGCCGACCTAGGTGCTGCTTCTCAGGACACAAATTAGACACTTTCCTCTGGAAGTTTCCTGTTTGATGGGAGGGAAACCGGATATGCACCTGAGAGGCCCAGTACTCCGTGCCTAAACATGCAAACCCGGGGAGAAGCACATATGAATTACAGTCGGCTCTGGAACACCCTAGTGACCAGAGAGACCCAGACTGTGGGTGACGTGCATGGCGGTTCGTTTAAAAGTTCCATTTGTTTTCATGGAGCATTCCCGAAACATTTATTTACCTTTACAATTGTGTTTGTCTTAAATTGTTGTTAAAATTAGTTAATATGGGGGTGCCTGGGTGGCTCAGTTGGTTGAGCATCCGGCTTGGGCTCAGGTCATGATCTCGCGATTCGTGGGTTCGAGCCACAGCTAGCTCAGAGCCTGGAGCCTGTTTCAGATTCTGTATCTCCCTCTCTCTCTGACCCTCCCCGGTACTTACGCGCTCGCTCTCTCTCTCTCTCTCTCTCTCTCTCTCTCAGAAATAAAACGTTACAGTTAAAAAATAAAAAATAAAATTAGTTAAGGGGCGCCTGGGTGGCTTAGTCGGTTAAGCGTCCGACTTTCGCTTAGGTCATGATCTCGCGGTTCGTGGGTTCGAGCCCCGCGTCGGGCTCTGTGCTCACTGCCAGCTCAGAGCCTGGAGCCTGTTTCAGAGTCTGTGACTCCCTCACTCTCTGACCCTCCCCTGNGTCTGTGACTCCCTCTCTCTCTGACCCTCCCCTGCTCACGCTGTCTCTCTCTCTCTCCTAGAAATAAATTTAAAAAAAAAAAAATAGTTAATATGATTGGGTGGGGCTGTCAGGAATTCTGGGAAAAGCTAGTCGGGTACTAAAAAACTCCCTTGGAAGAAAGACTGGGGCTGGGGGGTTGGGACGTGGGTAAGAAGCTTTCATTTTTCCTCCGTACCCTCCTTCTATAGGAACAATGTGCATCTATTTATACTTTTTAAAAAAGTTAGCAAGTTATCTGGCTTAGTGACATTATAGGCAGTTTTTCTTTCTGCAGACTTTTCAGTAATTTGAGACACCTTCTAAGCATGATGCATAGAATATTTTCCTCATATGAGTAACGGATAGGCAATAGTGGGTGACTGTACAGAATGGAGACTCATTTTCTTAGGTGTTTCATGTACTTTGCTTGTCGCTCATGCTTTTATTTTATTTTTTAACATTTTATTTATTAGACAGCGTGAGCAGGGGAGGGTCAGAGAGAGAGGGAGACCCATAATCTGAAGCAGGCTTCAGGCTCTGAGCTGGCTGTCAGCACAGAGCCCGACGCAGGGGTCGAACTCACGAACTGTGAGATCATGACCTGAGCCAAAGTTGGCCGCCCAACTGACTGAGCCCTCCAGGTACCTCTGTCACTCATGCTTTTAAAGCCCCACCACCCGCAAGCTGACACGCTGTCGCATATGCGGATGATATCTACATGACACTTGGAGTACACGCTTTGGTCGTTTTTCTTTTACTGATGATGGATTGGTGCTGAGAGTCATTGGGACAGTATTCACTGGTCTCCTGGGCAGAGGGAGGGAGTCAGAGCCTGACCGGATAGCCAACATGGATTTCAACCTTCGACTGTGGCCTCATCATCTAACCCAGAGTTGCTCAATCTGAGCACTTTTGACATTTAGGACCAGATAATTCTTTGTCCTGTGAGCTGCCTGGCACGTTATATAATGCTCAGCAATCTCCCTGGCGTCTACCCACTAGATGCCAGTAGCATCACCCATTGTGAGAACAACACTTCCAGATAGTGCTGAATGTCCCCGTGGATATGGGTTAGATCAGCGGTCCCCACATAAGAACTGCCGATCTAACCAATCATGCTCTCTGGATTCTGATTGACTGGGTGTACGTGAGGAAGATATAAGGAGACGCAGAGATGGTTTTATTCTGGGTAGGCTTCCGGCCCATGTTTGGGTGGAGGCAAGTTTGGAGTCTGTTTTAGAGCAAGGTGGGTGGGGAGGGCTTCGTGGATAACCTGCTCCTCTCCTTTGCCTCCTGCTTTTATAGGGCGTCTGAACTGGTGGGTGAGCGTGGACCCCACCTGCCAGAGGCTTCTTCCTCTGGCCACTACTGGGGATGGAAACTGCCTCCTACATGCAGCCTCTCTGGGTGAGTCTTGACAGTGGGGCTCCACACCCTCAGAAAGCAATAGAGTTGCACCTTGATCTTAGGCAGAAGTGATGATGCGGTGTGCGCGCATGTGCACGTGGCCGTGCAGGAGGGGGTGGAGGAGAGCTCTGCCCTGGACGTTCGGTCTTGTTCAGAGAACCTACGGAGAACCCAGGATTTAGCCTGGGTCCCACTCCGAGAGCTGCTGCCCAGAAGTGCTGAGCAGCAAGTTCCCAAGCCGTATGGAGCTGGGTGTGTCACTCTGCTTAATATTTATGCTTTGGGTATATAAAGAAGATACGTTTTCATCAGTTTTTGTGATATTTGCTTTAATTATAACGCTTATTTATAATTCAGTGTGGTTTGCCTTAGATCTTTAAAAAGTCTCCATTTTTCAACCACCCTCCAGCTTTGATGCCAATTGCCTTGTGCCAGCCCCACCTTACCTGCCGCTCCCCTGTATTTGAGTTTGTTGGACTTCCATCAGGAGGAAGGGGCTTTCTATCAGGAGTTTGTAGGGTGTGGTGTACACTTGTAAGTTCTCAAGAGTTCCTGAACTAGAATGTTCCTGAACGTCCAGAGTGGGAACAGCTTTTCTTTCGCGATTAAGTACCTCTGCCCTAAGCCACAGGGGTTTCTTTGAACCCGGCCCTCGGCCTGATCCCCTTCATGCTAGGGTATGCACAGCATAATTAATAAGTGGAGCGAAGTAGAGGTAAGGTGTCCTGCTGATATGTGTCCCTGCCACAGGCATGTGGGGTTTCCACGACCGGGACCTGATGTTGCGGAAAGCGTTGTACGCGCTGATGGAGAAAGGAGCCGAGAAGGAGGCACTGAAACGGCGCTGGAGGTGGCAGCAGACACAGCAGAATAAGGAGGTGAAGGAGCTGGGGCGGGAGCGCCGTGCCCCCCAGAGCTCGCCGTGGCAAATGCCTGGCGCTTCCGAGCAGGCAGCATCCGCTGGCGTTTCATCAGTTGGTACTCCCCCTGCGACCCTGGACATTGGAGAGAATGCAGATGACACCGTAGGGCGAGTGCGTGTCCGATGCAGCCCTGAGGGCCAGCATGGGGAAGCCGAGCCCCAGAGAGGAGGGCGCCGATGCTGTGCTCCTCCTCCGCCAGGCGCTCAGGAAGCCATCAGTGGCAACCTTTTGCAAAATAAGATATGACAGGTCCACAGGATTTTTGTATTGTTTTGGTTTTTTTTGCTCACAGTAAGGCTAGACCAAGTTTTAAGGACTTTTGTGTTTTCATCCCTGATAGAAACGTAAATACTTAAAAATGTTGTTGGCAAATAGAGTATTTGCTTTGCATATACTCTGAAAAATCTTAAAAACATGCCTATTAAATGGAGTTTGAATTTTACTTCTCAGGGGTCCAGCAGATGTCGAGGCTGCTTTTGGCTAAGAAAGTAACAACGGACTATTTCTGTTTTCCGTGTACTTTCTGCCCCCCAGTACAGGGGTTGGGCAAACTATGGCCTGTGGGGCAAATCCCACCAACAGTTTTATTAAAAAAAAAAATTATTGGAACACAGCCGTGCCCATTCACACATATGCGTGTTTATGTTAAGTGCCCTCCTTACGTAGAGTAGAACAGCAGCAGAATAGAGTAGTTGCACACGGCTCACAAAGCCTGAACGATTTACTGTCTGGCAGTTATGACAGCAGTGAAAGTTTGCCGACCCCTCGCTTTAATATAATGATGGTACCGTACATTTCCATAAAGAGAGCAGTTCTCCCTCTTTCCTTTTCCCCTGGTTCTGTCTGTCTTCTGTGTTTATCTTGTGCTCTTTGTGTGTTGTTTTTGTTGTTTTTTTTTTTTTTTTTTTGCGGCCATTTTCATGGCTGGGTGCTCTGGCATAAACATGGGACTGTCTTTTCAGAAACTTTCCCTTTCCTTTCCATCTTCTTTCTTGTCACCTTTTATTGCTCTGTCGTAACTGGCCATTGTATAGAACTAGTTCTCAGTTACTAGAATTTGATGTCCTGAAGATTAAAATATGAAGGTAGAATGTGTCATGTTTCTTTCTTAAAAACAAAGCACCCGGTCTTAACGAAGTCATTAAAATTAGGATGGTGTTATGATCAGAATGCTGTCTTTAATCACCCAGGCTGCCCCAGAGGATTCCTGAGGGGAGGTAGATGCATAGGGGCAAGGCCAAGTAGATGGCAGGCACTCTTCAGTACTACCCAAGCCCATGGCTCCCCGGTGAGCTGAGACAGACCTCGTGCCTCGAGTGTGCCTTCTTCACTACTGACTTCACACCATACCTGAACCTTCCATTTGACTACTCCAGAGTCCAGAAAAGGCCAAATTAACACGTTTGGCTATTAAGTAGAAGTGATAACAACGGGCAGAGGTGTGCCCAATTCCAGCTATTAAGCTATTCTAGTTATTATGGTAAAGGTGGGGTTACATTATGACGTGTTTAGCTGGGAGACCCAGAAATACCCCAGTTCCATTCTTGGTCAGCCGCCTGTTCCCCTCAAAGTTCCCAGTGGAAATACATGCATAGAGAATAGTGGCTCTTGAGGGAGAAATGATTTTGCTCCTTTTTGGCCAGCACATTAAAAGCTCGCTACTGGAAATGTAGCTTAGGAAAATTGTTTTGGTTGAGGCCATTTATAGCATTATCCTGCACCTTGGACATGGGAATGGAGGGAGGTATGAGGGACTGGGGTCGTCAGGACCAAACACCACACAACTGAATTGGTTTTGATTTCCCAAGGCTTCTTGTTTTGTTGAAATTGGTGGTCACACCCAATAAGGATGGGGCGCCTGGCCGGCTCAGTCTGTAGAGCAAGTGGCTCTTGATCTCAGGGCTGCGAGTTTGAACCCCACGTTGGGTATAGAGATTGTTTAAATAATAAACTTAAAAAAAAAAAAAATCAAACCAGTTAAGTTCATTTTCAGGCTAGAAGAGTGCGCCACCTAGTGGCTGTATGTATAGAAACAGGAAGCTGAACTAGGTGCCAGGGAGAGGGCAGGTGACCAGAGCACTGAGGATATATCTCCTGTGCGTTTTTCTTTTTCTTTTTTAATTTTTTAAAATGTTTTATTCATTTCTGAGAGAGAGGCAGTGTGAGCAGGGGAGGGTCAGAGAGAGGAAGATACAGAATCCGAAGCAGGCTCCAGGCTCTGAGCTAGCTGTCAGCACAGAGCCCGACGCAGGGCTCAAACCCACAAACGGTGAGATCATGACCTGAGCCGAAGTTGGACACTTAACCAACTGAGCCTCCCAGGCGCCCCCAGTGTGATTTTTTTCCACTTCGTCAATGTGTGTTTAAGCAATATAAGCTCACTTAAATACGAATGTAAGCCAAATACAATTAACCACACAGGCTTGTCTCCCAAATTATCATGTATATCCTAAAGCCAAACGATATTTTTAATTTGCTTGTATCACTTCTCCATTCTTTTGCTAAAAATTACAGTTTCATTCAGCATGCATTTCTTGATTACCGATCGCATCATAGGCACTAGCATATTGCATAAAACATGCATAAAACATGTAAGAGGAGTAGGAGGAGACGGACGTGTAAATCCATAATTGTACCAGGGTAACAAGTTATGATTTCTGTGATGAAGGAGGGAGGCCACAGAGGAGTGAGTCTATCAGGGAGATTTAGGAGAGACGGCAGAGAAGAAATTACTTGAGTTCTCTCCTGTCAGTTGAGAAATTGTTCGCCAGATGGTTAGGGAGTGGGCTGCTCAAGACAGAAGGAACAAGCTAGACAAGCTTAAGTATAAGGTAACACGGTGCTTTCGAGGAACTACAGCCAATTAAATAACGTATTGGAGAGGTGGGTAGGGGCCAGGAAGTGGGCTTTGTATGCTACACTTACGGAGTTTGAGCTATATCTAGTAGGTAACGAAGGTTCTTAAAAGAATTTGTAGCAGGACGCAAACATCAGATTCAATTTTAGAAAACTCTTTTTGTTACCATTGCAGGAGACGGATCAGAAGAACGTATACTGGGGTAGTAATATCATTTAAGGGTCCATTGCAGTAGTTCATGCTTTATAATCGTTGGCTAAGGAATCCAGGTGTGGAGTGGATCAAAGGAGAGGAGTCTTCAGTGACTCCGTGGTTTCTAGCTTGGGTGTTGGGTGTTACTCTGCCCTATCGCTAAGACAGGAATACAGGAAGAAGAGTGGGTCTTGGAAGAGGTAGGAGTTCAGTTTGACTGCAGAGTTTGAGACAGTCAATGGCAGGTGGCTGTCTTCAGTAGGCAGCTAGATCTAAATATAGAAATTAAGAGGACATCTGGGCTGGAGAGGGAGGCTTCAGAGTCCTGAGCATATAGATGGCAGTAGATGAGACTATGGCAGTAGGAAAAATTACCCAGAAGGAACCAAGGCCACTAATATTGTTGACCCAACACCAATATTGCTAGGGTGGACAGGGTTGAGAGAGATAGGAGAAAGTAGGATTGTGGAAGCTAAAGGAAAAGGATTTAACAAGGAGTTGAAATGCTATGTGAACTGCTAAGAAAGACGAGAGCCAAAGAGTCCACTGAATTTGAGAATTAGAAGGTCATTGTCCTTGCCGGAGTCAATTGGGTGAAGTGGTGTAAATGGGGTAAGGGGTGTAGGCTGAGGACAGAAACAGAAGCTAGACTGCAACGGGCTAGGAAAGAATGGAAAAAGTGTGAGAGATCATAAACTTCTGTGGATCCTGTAGGAAGGGGAGAAGAGCTGTGACTTTGTAGTACAGGCTACAAGCCAAGACCAAGAGAAGAGGGAGTGGGACAGTGTGGCTGAGTTGAATAGCTACTGCCTTGAGAACTGAGCCTCTAACTGCTCCATCTCTCCTGCCTCCCTTTCACACAGTCGGGGCTGGTTTACACAGAGGATGAGTGGCAGAAGGAATGGAACGAGCTGATCAAGCTGGCCTCAAGTGAACCCCGCATGCACCTAGGTACCAACGGAGCCAACTGTGGTGGGTAAGTATGGCTGAGACGGGGAGTGGGGAATACTCGTCACTGAGTCCTCCGTGTCCAAAGAACTTGATGCTAAGAGGCTGTTAGAAGGAAAGAGAGGGGCCCTCGCAAAGGCAATATAACATGGTATGTTCCGAGAGCTACACGCCGTTCAGCATTGCTGGAACACAGAGCACGCAGTATGGAGCGATCGACTAGGCTGGGTGGCCGGAGTTCCGGGTGCTCTGCTGAGGCTTCTGCTGTACCACGTTACGGAATTAAAACCATATCCTATCCAGAGAAACTTTAGGACAACTAACTACGTTTCCTCAGTAAATCCACTGCAAGGAAAATAAAAAGGAACAGGGAATGTAAGGTTAAAGACACTTAGACGAATCAACAAGTGGGAACATATGGACATTTATGACAGTTGGTGAAATGTGAACAATGTCTACATGTTTCATTGTTGTTAAATTCTTATTTTTTAGAGATAGAAACTGAAAAATTTGTGGATGAAATGATACGTCTAGAATTTGATTTAAAATAATCTGGTGGAGTGGCATGGGGGTGGGAGGTAACAGATCAAGGTCTAGGTGAGCATGACATTGACCATCTGTATTGTAACTGTTGAGGCTGGGTGAGGGACACATGAAAGTCTAGGTGTAATATTCTTTCTAGTTTTGAATGTGTTAAAATTTTGAAACTTTCTGTAACACAAAGTTAAAACTTATAACCCATCCCGAACTTCATTGTGTGTAAGGATAATCTGGGAGGCTTGTTAAGATGCAGACTCGGGGACGGGCACTCTAAGGAAGTCCCGCGGCATGGGACTGAGCTCAGGCCCGGAGGTCCACATCGGAGCTGAGCACCCAGCGCCCCATAACATTGTTTCAGGCGAGTGACGGGTGTCAGAACGCACTGCCAGCAGAGTGGGTGATGAGGTGGCGGCAGTGAGATGGGGCGGCTGTGGTAACGTGGGGAGAGGGCCATGGGTGTGACTATGAGCAGTGGGGCACAGACAGGCCAGAGGACAAGGTACAAGAGACACAGAAGAGGTGGAGCTGGTTGAGGCGGGCAGTTAATTGAAGGTGCGAGGTAAGGAAGAGTAAATCTGTCACAGATGTCTGATCAGGCCATGAGGTAGATGGTGAGGTGACTTGCCATTCTTCACGTAAGGGAGCGTACAGAGAGGAAGTTTTGTTTCTTTTGTGCATGTAGGACATGGTGTGTGCGGTATGTGGGTGATTGTGGTAGGCAAAGTGAGGCTACACAACCGTGTGCCGAGCCGTAGCGTAAAGTGGATTGGGGAAGGCTGTTGACCAAGCTTGGTTTTAGCAGAGGGATTACCTCCCGATTCCTAATTCTACTTTAACCGGAGGGCCTTCAAATCTCTTTTCTTGGATGTCCCCATCTGTGAAATGGGCACAGAGATAGTGTAACGTTATCAGCGGTGTTCGCAGCAGCCTTAAGATGAGAAAACCAGGACTGGACGTTCCTCTTTTCGTCTTTGCGGAACTGGTCTTCAGGGGCGTCTTGTGTTCTCTCCCCTTCCCCCCCACAATCTCCTCTCCTGCAACTCTAGGGTGGAGAGTTCGGAGGAGCCTGTATACGAGAGCCTAGAAGAATTCCACGTCTTTGTCCTCGCCCACGTGCTTAGGAGGCCCATCGTTGTGGTGGCCGACACCATGCTGAGGGACTCCGGTGGGGAAGGTGAGTCGGCCGTTGTTGCTGCCCTGAGCGCCTTGTGTTTGCAGAGCCTTGGCTAGGCAAGGGCGGTGGGGGGAAGGGGCGCCACAGCCCCCTGGGGAGAAGCAAGGGACCCGCTAGCTCACGGCCAGCTTCTCGGGGTTGAGAGCTAAGTGGTTGGGATGAATTGGTGAATTCTTAGGAAAGAATGATTAACTAACGAGGGCCTGGAACTAATGAATGCGGGGACGGACTTGGTCGAGTGGGTGCGGGAACCCTTCCTGGGTAACGGCCTTTGCGGTTTGCTGCAGCGTTCGCCCCTATACCCTTCGGGGGGATCTACCTGCCGCTGGAGGTCCCGGCCAGCCAGTGCCACCGCTCCCCACTGGTGCTTGCCTACGACCAGGCCCACTTCTCCGCACTTGTGTCCATGGAGCAGAAGGAGAACGGCAAGGAACAAGGTGCTGGAGGCGGTGTTGGTGGCTGTGGGGTCTCAGTCTGCTTTCTTGTCACTTGGAACGACCGAAGTGGGAGAGAACGTAGGAGGACAGAGTTAAGTGACATGCGAGCCCGGACCCTGTGTTACAAAGCTAAACATAAAGCGGGGTTTTTAAATGAAACAGAAATCCTGTTTTTAGAAGCAGCTTTGGGAAAAACACAGTCACCTGCCTGTATTTGCTGCTCCTTGTTCTGCAGTAAAGAGCATATGTATTAAGGTCATAGAACCTTCCAAGTGATGCTTTGCTGTATTTGCCTTGATACTGACTTTGAATTCCTCGAATCCACGTTGACTGGCAAGAACATCGTGAGTGTCCCTTGACTGACTGTTGGGGCGTCATGGAGATTAGTGGCCTAAATTGTGCGCTGGCTGGTGAGGGAAAGCCAGCCTGTTGGTTTTTAATGCCAAGGTGATTCACTAGTGAGAACGGGGACGTGGGCTCGGAGACCTGTGGCAGGATTCAGCCTCCTTTCGAACGCAGCCCGTGTGTGCGCAGTTGCCTCCCTCTCTCCTCAGGGAGACTCCTCGCTGACATGCTTCTTCCTCCCCAGCTGTGATCCCACTTACGGATTCGGAGCATAAGCTGCTGCCCTTGCACTTTGCCGTGGACCCCGGGAAGGCCTGGGAGTGGGGCAAAGACGACAATGACAACGTCCGATTGGCCAGGTGAGGCAGGCCTCGCCTTCCCACCCGCCAGGTGGACAAAACATCCATTTCCCTGGGACTTTTCCTCAGCTTGGAAGCCAGTTACACCCTAAGTAACTCCAGGGTTTTGGGGGAAGATGGAGACACAGGGGCAGGTTGGGCACCAGGATTCTTGCAACGCGCAGCTGCTTCATGTCCCTGCAGGGGAGCTGGGAATCCGGGATCTCAGCTGGGTCTTCCCTTACACTATGAGGGGTGTCCTTCTACTGCCAGCTCCCAGAATCTCCCCACAGCAAGCAGAAAATCAGATTGTCAAATCACGGGGCACCTGGGGAGCTCAGTCAGTTAAGCATCTGACTTTGGCTCAGGTCATGATCTCGCGGTCCATGAGTTCAAGCCCCACGTCGGGCTCTGTGCTGACAGCTCAGAGCCTGGAACCTACTTCGGATTCTGTGTTTCCCTCTCTCTGCCCCTCCCCTGCTCGCACCTGTCTCTATCTCAAAAATAAGCAAACATTAAAAAAAAAATCAAATCACACTTTTTCTTCCATTCCAAGTGAGAGGGTGTTTATTTATTAAAAAAATTTTTTTAGGTTATTTATTTTGTGAGAGCGAGCGAGCGTGTGCCTGCACAGGAGTGTGGGAGGGGCAAGAGAGGGAGGGCGAGAGAGAGTTCCAAGCAGGCCCCGCGCTGTCAGCAAAGAGCCCAATGCAGGGGTTTGATCTCAGGAACCACAAGATCATGACCTGAGCTGAAATCAAGAGTTGGACCCTCAACTAACTCAGCCACCCAGATGCCCCTAAAGATTTGATCCTTTAAGTAATCTCTACACCTAACATAGGGCTCAGATTCACAACCCTGAGATCAAGAGTCTTGAGCTGTACAGATGGAGCCACCCCGGTTCCCCAGGAAGGGGGGGCTTTTAAATAATTGACGGAAGTAGTTTGCTCTGGACTGTTGCCTTTCTGGAATTGAAATAGCAAGAAAAATGTCCTCCCTGCCCCTGCCCCTCCCTGAGCCTCCCAGCGGGTTTGGTCTCTGCCAGAGCCCCCACAGCCTCCAGCGAAGAGTGTATGGATATGAAAGCGCCCCCCTGCCCTCTTGCGCAGTGGTTCCTTCTCTGGGGGATCCAATTGAGAGAGTCAAAAACTCTTGAGTTTATGGCTTTTAAAGTATGTTCTTACCTACATATCAAAAGCTCCCTCTTAATATTTATACTAGCAACAATAATAATGGCTACTGGGCAGTACGTATTTCCTGTATTATAGAAGTTATCCCGGGTCCTTTCCAAGTACTGTTTTAATCCTTACAACAAGCCTACAGGGTAGATATTATCTACACCCATTATCAACCCTGAGTGTTAGGGAGGGTGGAGGGACTTGCCTCCAGGTCATAACAACACTAATTGGTGTAGTTCAAGCCCAACCTCCTCAGGCCCAGAGAGCCCCAAGAGCCTGGGAGGCTCTCCCATCCTGCCTCCTGCCTGCCTGCCTCGCCCTGCTTTCCTTTCTGAAGGTCACTGTATGTTCTTAATTCTTCTCCTCCTTCCCCACAGTGTAATCCTGTCCCTGGAGGTCAAATTGCATCTGCTGCATGGCTACATGAATGTGAAGTGGATCCCGGTGTCCTCTGATGCTCAGGTGAGGACTTCTCCCCCCTCATTTCCGGCAAACAGAGACTTAGGAGGCCTGGTGGTGGTCTCCCGAATCGCTTCCGAATGGTAGCTTGTAATTCAGGGTTAGGAATAACTGGGTACATTTCAGAAGACACTTTTTCTGCCTTTCTACCTGTTGGTGCCTTCCGTTTTCCACAGCCCTCTCCTGCCAAGCTCTTCCTTGTGATACTACAGCGCATTCCTCAAGAAAAGTCTTCTAGACTTTTAGGTGAACTCGAGATGGTCGTTACTGTGTCTCAAACCTTGTATATGTGGACCTCTGAGGTGGGCGCCAGAGGAGGCAGAATAGCTTAACGAGATCCCTGTCCAGTAGGTTCGGAGGAGGTCTTCATTACCCCCAGAGCAGCAGCACAGGAACTAGGGCAGACTGACAGACTCGCAGACTGATGGACTCCGGTGCTGAACGTGTAGACAGACTCTGGGGGGTGCGGGATGGTCGGCCCTGGCTCTGGCCAGTCCTCGAGCCTCACCTCGGGCAGCGTGTGGCAGGAGGGATTATCACCGAGGACCGTAGTACGGCCGGCTGTTCCTACCCAGAGGTCCGGTGGAGAGGCCCGCGCCGCCGCACAGGGGCGTCAGTCAGGCTTCGCTCAGATCTGTCCTTACTGCCGAGGGGGTCGGGTGGCAGGGGCCGAGGTCGGAGTTAGAATCCCTCCTGGGAACCCCTTCCCCTCCAAGACAGCAGCCCTTCTCTGGACCGGGGCAGGCGCTGCAGGATGGGGTGGAGGGGGGTCAGCAGCCCTTCACCACCTGGCTAGTCCCCATGGCGCCGCTACCGCGAGCCAGAGGTCCCTGGGGACTTCCCTCAGCCTGGCCAGCCGGACGGCCGTCAACCCTGTTCTTCTCTCTGCCCAGGCCCCCCTGGCCCAGCCCGAGTCCCCCACGGCCTCAGCCGGGGACGAGCCCCGCTCCACTCCCGAGTCTGGGGAGTCGGACAAAGAGTCCGTGGGCAGCAGCTCCACGAGCAACGAGGGCGGCAAGCGGAAGGAGAAGGCCAAGCGCGGCCGGGAGAAAGACAAGAAGCGCGCAGACTCCGTGGCGAACAAGCTGGGCAGCTTTGGCAAGACCCTGGGCAGCAAGCTCAAGAAGAACATGGGAGGCCTGATGCCTGGCAAGGGCCCCAAGGCCGGGGGCGCTGACACCCTGGAGAAGAAGAAGAAGAGCTCCCTGAAGGGCTGGAAGGGCGGCAAGGAGGAGGCGGCCGGGGACGGGGCCGGGGCCGAGAAGCCGGCGACCGAGTCGGCCGCTGACGGCGGCGGCAAGTACGGCCAGGACGTGATGCGAAGCCTGAGCATCCTGCGGATGGCCATGCAAGGGGAGGGCAAGTTCATTTTTGTGGGTGCCCTGAAGATGGGGCACCGGCACCAGTACCAGGAGGAGATGATCCAGCGCTACCTCTCCGATGCCGAGGACAGGTTCCTGGCAGAGCAGAAGCAGAAGGACGCAGAGAGGAGGCTCCTGAACGGAGGGGCCGGTGGCGGCGGGCCTCCTCCAGCCAAGAAGCCAGAGCCCGACGGCGGGGAGGAGCTGCCGCCAGCCGCCCCGACGGAGTCCAAGGCCTTCTCTGCCAGCTGCCCCGGGGCCTTCACCATCCCGCGGCCTACCGGGGCGGGCGTGCACTGCCAGGAGCCCCGCAGGCAGCTGGCGGGTGGGCCCTGTGGGGGAGGCCTGCCACCGTACGCCACCTTCCCCAGACAGTGCCCTCCAGGGCGCCCCTACCCCCAGCAGGACTGCGTCCCATCCCTGGAGCCAGGCAGCCACTGCAAGGACGGCGGCCACAGGGCCGCGCTGCTGCCACCCCCCTTCCGCGTGGCCGATTCCTACAGCAATGGCTACAGAGACCCGCCCGAGCCAGATGGCTGGGCCGGGGGCCCCCGGGGCCTCCCTCCGGCCCAGACCAAGTGCAAACAACCGAACTGCAGCTTCTATGGACACCCCGAGACCAACAACTTCTGCTCCTGCTGTTACAGGGAAGAACTGAGGAGGAGGGAGCGGGAGCCGGGCGGGGAGCTGCTGGTGCACAGGTTCTGAGGGGGGCGCCCCGGAGGGCAAGGGGGCTGAACAAAGAGAGTTAAGCTCAACTAACTGGCTCATCGAGATGCAGCCCCCACGCAAATGGGGCAAATGCGGTAAGGTCGGTGGGAGCCCTGCTAGGAACTTTGAGGTGTGTGCGCCCCGGGGAGCCGCAGGCTGGCGAGAGCGGGGCAGGGTCGGCCGGCCCGGAGGCCGGAGGGCTGCACTGGGCCTTTACCTGGGCCTTTGCAGGTCTTGGTGGGACTGAGGAGGTACGGGGGTGGGGGGTGGGGGGAGATGGTGATTCTGTCTCATGACTGCTTGGGTCCCCCCCAGGGCTAAGGGGAGAGAGGGGACGGTTTAGTGTGTGGGAGTGGGGAGGTGGGCAGAAGTCGGGGGGAGGAGCAGGCAAAGGAGGCTCCCAGTCAATAAAAGACAAAACAGACCAAAGTTCTTGTAGGCTGGACAAAAGCACATGACCGTGGAGTTGGGGCGTGGAGGGAAATTAGATAAATTTGCTCTTGATTTGAATTAAGGTAGAAATTAGGGTTGGTTAAGTTCTTCCTCCTGAAGGATCTGGAAAGACTAGGCAGTAATGTGTGCTCACCGGGGCTTGTTAGGAGGGGCTTGGTTTAAATTGGTTTTTTGAGATGGGAGAGGGAAGACCTTAAACAGGGAATCCTTTTTGTCTCGAGTTTTACTTCCTTCTAAACAAGTCCTCGGTCATCTGTTCTAGTCAGTGAGGAGACTGCTGATTGCGCCGCTATCTTTTCCTCATCCTTTGTGAGGACTGAGCTCAGCTAAGTTAAGGTTGTGATGTTTTTAAAACGACTTTAAGTTTATTAAAAAAAGAAAAATAGTTCCCTCTGGGGAAGGGGAGAGGGCTGGGAAGAGCAGCTGTGGGGCAGGATCTTCTCCCGGTGAGCGGGCGCACGTGGCCCTTTTGTTACTTAGCAATAACCACACACTGGGGGGAGCGCACCCCGCGAGGGCCGGGGGCAGGACAGACTCTTGGCCAGACTGTTTTAAACAAAACCAAAAACCTAAATAGAGCACTACCATCTTCTGCTGCTGCATTTCCGTAGAAAGCAACTTATTTTGACTTTTTATTTTAGGGAAAAGAAACAAAGACCCCAGTGAGCAAAAATGTTTTGAAAAATGATTTTTTTTCTTCCTATTTAAGTGATTCTTTCTCCTTCCTCTACTTGTGGAGAATGAACTTAACATCCCGGCTTCTTTTGTTAAGCCATAGCTGACCTTAATCTGTGGTTAGTTTATTAAGATAATTAAAAACATACTTTGTAAGAAGACATATTTTTGATAATAGGATTGATATTAAAACTCGGGGTTAGGGGTTAGGGGCAATTTATAAAAAAGGTAGTTAGAGAAATATATTTTAGTGAACTGTAACCACAGATCACAGATTACTCCCGATGAGCTGATCTGTTCTTGGGTTTCCCCCTGTCCCTGACTCAGCCCTGTTCCCCAGGGGGTGGAGTGGACCTGTGGACACAGAATGAGGGGGGGTGGCTTCTTTGCATTTTGCACAAAGCACAAGTCTGGACAGCCTTCACTCTGGCCAGCACCATTTCTAAGAGCTTTAAACTGGAGGACCTATCCTGGGCCAATTTTCCTTTTTCTTTTTTTTTTTTTCCTGGGGAAAGAAAAACCAACTATGCAATTGTCTAAACCCCTGGGTGCATGTGAGGACGGGGAGTAAGGGTACTTAAGTGTCCGGAGTGTTAACTGGGGCTGTTTTTCTGTAAGTGGATTTCTCTTTTGAGAGATGTACTCCCAACTCTGCTCATGGAATGTAATCCCCACATCTGCTCTAAGTCAGCCGGGGGCCAAATGCGTGTGTCGGGGACCTGGAACAGTCAGGAAGGTTGTCACCCTGTAGTCCCCCTCAGTAACAGCCCGTCAAGACCATCCTCTTCATTGGAACCGCTCACAGTTTAGAAAGGTCACTCTCCTCAGCACACCTGAAAGTCACTTATTTTTCAAATCTGATAAGTCTGTTGATTTAAAAATTTCCTGTGGCTGTTAACTCTTAGGCTTTTATTTGAAAATAGGATGGTTTTCAGGAAGCAATGAGGTCAAAGGAGGGGCTGAATGTATTTCTGGGCAGGGCTGGGCAGGAGATGAGTACTCCCCTTGGGTACAAAATATAAGGGGGATCGAAACACTCAGTAATTCAGATGATGTTTTAAGGCAGTATTTCAAAAATACTGCAAAAAAATCCATAATGAATAAAATACCAAAATCTTAAAGACAGATCCAACAGGACTGAGATTAGGGTGAGGGAAGCAAGCTGAATTGAGCAGGCTGAATCCCGTCTTTAAAACTTTGATACTTAGTTCACTGTGGACTTTCTACATTGGTTTTGTCACAGAATACTGCATGAAAATAGTACGCTGGTTACTGAGTTTGGAGGACCCCTTACATTTTGTGCTGGGAGTGAATGCCTTGCTCACCTCACCCCGTCTCTGGGGTTAGAACCACACACACGGGTGAGACTACCGCCTCCGGAACCACTGTCCCCTGTCCCCTAAGTGCACGGGAACGACAGGGGGCTGGCACCTGGCACACTCACCCTGCTTTCCCAGAGACACCCGTCTGCAGCGTAGGGTTCTGGCCTGGACCAGGGGTTTTCCCAGAGAATAAAACCAGGAAAGTTGTGATTCTCCACTGGACTGCTGTGTTTGGATTTGATTTGTTACTAGATTCTAGTTGATACTTTTGTTTTTAAAAACTGAGGACAAATGAACAAAAACAGAAACCTCATGTCATGTTTGTTTTTGTTTTGATTTATAAACTAACCAATCCCAATTCCTTTTGACCTCTTCTCAAATAAAAATGGTGGAAATTCTGGGGGTGTCCTAGGCGTATGATAAAACGGCTTTATTTAGGCCCCAAGGCCTTTTATTCAGAAATAAATTATTTTTGTTTAATTTGGGAAGGTAACTATTTATTGAGGCATTAAGAAAAATTCTCCATCCTAAGGATGAGGGGCCCTGAGTCCAGGGACGTTTTGCTGTGGGGCCGCATGGACTGTTGTGCTTTATTCTTTTGAGGGGGGTGTGTGGGATGGAGGGCGAGGAATAATGCCTGGGAAATGGCAACAGGCTGTGGTTGGTTTGTGGTATTTGGGGAATCTGAGGGGGTGGGAGAGGCGAGCCCATGCAATTACTGTGCTGGGGAGAAGGGAGAAGAGGGGTAGAGGCCTGAACCCCCATGTGGGCAGGAACGGGTGGGTCCAAGGAAGGGGATGCGGGTGGTGGGAGGCAGCCCCTGGAACCCTGGCTGTGGGATGGGATCTCTCAGGCTTACGTTAAGTGCACTTAGTTCCTTTGCTTCAGGGCACTGGGGTATTTCCTGAGGTTTTTACTGGAGAGGGGAGATAATTTGGGGTTATTTTTTCCCCCCTTTAAGACAGCGCTCCCCCTCCACCCTGCATTCTCCACCCTGTCCCTGATGGAGCACGTATACTAGAGGGGCGGCCTCCAGATTCCTACCTTAAATGTGCTCATTTTGTTGAAAGTTAAAAGGTTTAATCAGAAGTTTTCCCCTCATACAGGAGTCTATCAACAAAATAAAAAGATTATATAAAACCGTTTTTGTGAAAAGAGTCCATCTCTGTGTGGGGTGGGGACGGCGTTAATCCTGGCCGGCGGTGCACAGAGCCCGGAGGGAGCCGAAGGGCGCACCCTCTCCGGTTGGCTCAGTTTCTCCCAAGTGAAACTGAAGCTCACAGGCCAATAAAACAAAAATCGGCAGTGACTCCGTATTGTGAACTTGGGAGGGGTCCGGCGCTGCCCGGAATAATCTCGGAGAACCTAGCTTTCGCCGGTCTCGCTCGTTCCTCAACAACCACACAGCCGAGCTTCCAGGCACGTTCCGTCTTTGCCGGTAAAGGAGACTCCAAGAGGCTTGTCCCTGAGTTACTTGGGCACTAGTTACTCTGGACTCTGTCCTCTTCTTTCTCCAAGCAGTCAGGGCCCCAGACACACGTGAGAAGACGGGATTAGAAGCCCTTTCCTGGCCTGCATCACCTGCACCCCAGACTTTTACCCGCCCCCCTCCCCCCGTCCGCCAAAGGCTCTTCAGCTGTAGATTCAGTGAGTCATCCAGGCACTCTTATGTCTCTCACTGCGGATACCGGCCCGCAGGTCGTAGTGTCTTGTCCCCGTACGTCAAGTGGATGAACAAAATATTTATTATGACGTAGCCGCTCACGTACTCTCCAGGCCACCGCCCTTCGCTGGCCACGTGGGTAAGGGGCGGGGCGGTGGAATAGAGGAACGGAAGCTGGCCGCCCGCAACGTGCGGACCAGTGGGGGGTGGGGAAGACCTTGGCCTCTTTCTGTGCTTATAACTGGATCTGTGACTCATCCTGTGAGTCACTCAGCTCCACCTCCCTCCTCCAGCTGCCCCTCCCAGCAGCCTTCACTCTTGGCACGAACCTGCAACCAGACCAGGATTCTGAAAATGGAAAAATGGGATACAGCCCCTTGCGTCTCCGTCCTTCCCTGCATCCACCAAAACCTCCACCGGTGTGTTCGCCCTCAGCTGCTGCCCCTGTGCGTTCCCTGTGCCGATGCGAGCCACCCGCTTCTGCCTGCCTTCCACCGCCTCCCATTCCCTTGATGTTTTTCTCTGGATTCCGCTGCTGCTGCTGTACCTCAAAAATATTAGAGAATAGAATGAGGCTCTTGAACGAGGGGTGGTGGGCAGAAGGAAAGCGGACGATGGGCATTACAAACGGTGGCACACCGCTCTTGCCGCTGCAAGAGACCTTGGGAAGGATTTCTTCCCCAAACGATTGAGGCGCGTGGAAAGTAGGTGGGGTTGGGGGTGCTTGGCAGCTTTTAGGACTTCTAGAGTAAGGCTTCTGGGCCACCTTCCTAGCAGGTGTATGCCTCTTTGTTCCCAATTAACTTCCTGTCTCACAACATCTTCACTCTTTCCAGAGTAGCAGCCAAGACAGGGACCTTTCAAAGCTGAGGCCGGAAGGGTGTGTGTGCTGAGGGGAGGAGAGCGGAGTGTCGCTTTGGAAAACTGGGGCCCCCACCTAAGGACTACTGCCTCAGTACAGACTCAAAAGCCATAAACAGCAGCTCGTTAACCCTTACTTTGTATTCCATTTCCTGTCTTTTTCGCATCTAAATGCCAATTTTTGCTTCCTACCGAGGCACCATCCATCAGCTGCAGTTCCTTTACTTCCCTCCTAAGGTCCTCCCCACCCACCTCTGCTTCTCTAGTTACAGGGGGGGAGAGTGGGGGTGGGGCCACAACTGCTAGAGGTTTCTAGCCCTCAACTTTCAAGGGCCTGAACATGAATCATTAATTTGCAGATCTGGTGTCTGAGTTGCAGGGAGGGGTCATGTACCTAGAATGGGCTCTAGTTTCCCACTGGTGAGAGAGAAAGAGAGAGAGTGTGTGTGTGTGTGTGTGAGAGTGGTAAGAACTTTTCCTTGGCCTCCCCCAACCCCAGCACTTGCACATAAACACCTGTACTGTATCTGCGTCCTGGAGATACTTCTGTTTCTCTCCCCAATACTGTCACCGCGCCCTCCACACTAGGTATGTTCAATGCTCTCTGGAGAAGGACATACAAAATGCTTTTAACTCAACTCCCCTCACTTCTTGGGCTTCTCCAGGCAAAAATCCCCCCAGGTCCAATTTCCTACCACCTTTCCCGGGTGTGTCAGGGGCGGCAGCAAGGAGGCTTGAACTGCTTTTGCCTTCCTCCCACCACTCCACCCCCTTCAAGAAGACAAAAAACTAAGTCCAAATATCCCAGGTTAATATTCAGCATTACTGCTCCCCTCAAATAGTTTCCAATCCTCCTCAACAGAAAAGGCATAGGATCTGGGACTCGGGTAACGAATCTGGGTTTTTTTCCCCCAGTCACCCATTTTTTCCCTCACCTTTTCCAGGCTCCTCCACTTTCTCTCCACTTTTCCAAAACTGTGTGCATTCCCCTTTAAGGGGCTGGGCATCTCTCCCGCCCTCTGCAGAGTCGACTGAAGTTTCCGAGGAGCCTCCTAGCTGGGTTGGACACACCTTTCGAAGACCCCTAGTCGAGCTCCATGCACCACAAAGGGCTCTTTCCCATAGTGCTGTCCCCCTGCCCCTCTCCCTGACCTCCCTCTTCTCAGCTACAAGATTCAGCCTCTCCCCAAGGGGCTGGAGCATCCTAAACGTTTCCCACCCTTCACGGCTCTGTCCCCGGATGGAGCCAGAGAAATGTGGTGGGGGGGCCGGGGCCAGAGTTTCAACATCGCCCCCCAGAAGGAGGAGCCAGAGATGGGGGTAAGGAGAGGAAACTTGGGCCTGGGAGGGAAGGGGACCGTGGGCAGGAGGGTGTGAACGAGGAGGATTTGGAGATAAAAGGGGGGTAAGAAAAAGATCTAGAAGAGGAGGATGGTGTGTCCCATATCAACTTCGGTTGATGGACCTCGGTCTGTCTTTTTCACAGTCTCAAGTTCATTGTCTCATTATCCATTAACCAGCCCCTCCCTTTGCTGTCTGCCAACTGGGTCCTAAGCTCCCTGACAGCCACTGAACCCCCACCCCCCACCACCGAAGGCCTGAGTGCAGGCCTCTACTGGTGGCTGCTGAGCTGAGCCCAGACCCCAGGGTTGGGGAGGTCCGGGATTAAGCCCACGCCCTTTGCAGCTCTCTGGGCCAAAGTGTGTCGGGCGGACCGGGATGCTGGAGCCCAGGAGTCGGCAGCTTGACGGTCACGTGGCCTCTGGATGCCTCCCAGGTAGTAGCTTCCCTTTCAATACTTCCAACCTGCAAAGACTCTTCCACGTTTCATCCTGCTCAAGTCTCGCTTCAGCCTTCACCAGAGATACCTCTGTATTCCTCTGCACAGAGTGCTTCTGCCTGAGGCTTGCTCTTTTCTCTGTCCAGAGCTGACTAGGAACATGGACCTCGATGATCCCTGTTGTCTTGACTCTGTGACTCTATCTCATTTCCTTATTCAATAGCATGAGTGCCTCCTCTGTATAAAAGAATACAAGTGATCTCCTCCTAGGCTTTCATTATAAGGGGTTAGGGGAGGATCTTAATCTTCCCTCTTTAGTTCCTCCTGTCTCCGAGGAGTCGGTGTACACCAGTGTGGGCGACACTGGGAAGAGTCATAACCTGGCTTTCCTTCTTCCCCTGTAGGGGAGCAGATCCTAGCATGGGCCCCAGGGGTGAGAAAGGGACTGGAGCCTGAACTGCCTGGAACCCTGATCTGCACCAACTTGAGGGTCACCTTCCAGCCCCGCGGATGGCAGCGGAGTCAGGTGAGAGGGACAGGGCGATGGAAAGTATGGTTAGTGAGAAATGGATAGGGGAGTCTAGAAGGATTTAGACAAGTGAGACAGGGAGAATGATGCTTAAGGGCTGTCTTTTGAATGTATCAGGGATAGTCAGTCGGGATGATCTCCAGGGAGGTTAGGGGTTGCCAAGGTAGGACAGTGAGCAAGATTCCAGATGTCTTCAGCACCAGTCCTGTGCTTCCTCTAGGAGACTCCCTTGAGCAGGGAATACGATTTTGCCCTGGTCAACATCGGGCGATTAGAGGCTGGTAAGCGGGGGCTGGGGTGTTTGTGTAGGGTCTCACTGGGGGCTCACCCTTCCTCTATTCTCAGAGGGCAACAGGGATGGAATGGGACAGGCCGGGAGATGTCTCATAGAGAGACTCTAATCCGTGACTGAGCTGCTTTCTACCTCTTGGCTTCAGTGAATGGCCTGTCCAGAGTCCAGCTCCTCCGCCCAGGGTCCCCACTTAAATTTATCCCTGAAGAGATTCTCATTCATGGCCGAGACTTCCGGCTGCTCAGAGTTGCTTTTGAGGCTGGAGGACTAGAGCCTCAGGCCTTTCAGGTAAGAGACCTTCAACCCAAGGACTCCTCTTGAGAGCCTTGGGATCCTTTCCCTGGCATTCCCACGCACCCCCCCTCCCCCAGTCTCCTAGACCCCTCTCATCAATTCTGCCTGCTTCTCTCCTCAAGGAGAGGCTAAAAGCCTGGGGTAAATGATAGCAAGAGAGTAAGGGGCCTGAATTCTAGTCCCGGGCTGCCAGTTATCAGCAGTGTGACAGCGGGCAAACTTCTTCCTTTGAAAAACAGGGAGGGCTGGAGGAGATTGTTCCTGAGAATTCACATCCTGTGCTTCTGTGATTCTGGATGTGTTTTCCGGAACCCAGTCCCCGTGACCCATGGAAGCTCCCTTCCTCGGCGATTATCTTTGCTGTTCTCCCATGTCTCTGCTGGTGGCAAAGACAGTTGAGCAACACATGGGCCCCATATCATCCTCGACACTTCTTCAGTCTGAGCCAAAAGGCTGGGATGCGCTTTCCTCCACAGGTGACCATGGCCATTGTCAAAGCCAGAGCTCAGAACAGTCAAGCCCAGCAGTATGCAGGCATACCCCTGAGCAAGGCTGGTGAGTGAGGGTGCTTCAGGGGAGGGAACGGTAAAGAATCGGAGAGAGGAGAGGCTGGCTGAAGACAAAAGAGCTGAGAGGCTCTCTGGTTCCTCTTCCTTCTTTCCTGTGCCTCACTGCTGTCCTAGGCCAGAGTTCGGGGACCAAACAACCACCTATTCCCCTCCTGGAGACATCAGACGACTGGGAGACCGAGCGGAAAAAGCAGGGGGCCAGGGGCTGGAGGGTCAGCACCGTCAATGAGAGGTTCGACATAGCCACCAGGTGAGCCTCAAGTCCACTCCGACCGCTGCTGCCCTCCCCATCTTCCCCCAGTTCTTGGACCCTCTAAAGCTAGGACTTCCCTCAAGCTCCAGCCTCAAAGCTTTCCCCCTTACCGCCTAGATCTCTAAACTTGAGGTTCCTTGGAATAATCCCCTCCTAAGCAACTTCCTTGTAATGACAGGTTTGCATTATAATGAGGTCACTGAGGCAAGCTGTGACACACTCTCAATTTCACAGCCTCCCCCGTTACTTCTGGGTCCCTAAGCGAACTCTGGACAGTGAAGTCAGGAGGGCATTTGGACACTTCCATCAGGGCCGTGGACCGGTCAGTAATAAGCACCAGGGTGATGGTTTGGGATGAGCTGGTTATGGGGGGTGGGGGTCAGGGAGGTCAGTGTGGAGGGAGGTCAGTGTGGTGGCAGGGGTGGGGCTAGGAGTTTCTCCATGGCGATCCTAACCTCCCGCCATCTAAAGCGCCTGTCCTGGCATCACCCTGGGGGCAGTGATCTTCTCCGCTGTGGTGGCTTCTACACAGCCAACGACCCTAACAAGGAGGATATCAGGTGAGGGGAGGTTTGATGAGCAGAATCAAGGGTTGGAGGTTCAGGGCAGACTCGTTCCCTTACATTGTGACTCCCTCCCCTCCAGAGCAGTGGAGTCAATGCTCCAGGCCGGGCATTCGGATGTTGTCCTGGCAGACACGGTGGATGAGCTGCCTAGTCTTGCAGATGTCCAGCTTGCTCACTTGAAGCTCAGGGCTCTTTGCCTGCCTGGTGAGATAACCTCTGACCCCTACCCCATCCCTAGGTCTGCTGACCCTAACCTGGTTTATACCCTTTTGCCTGTTACAGATGGGTAACCCTTCAGCCCAATCCTTCATTTTCTATTCAACTCCCACCTCCCACAGATTCAGATTTCTCGTCTACCTGACCTCAAAGTAGTCTTTTAACAGCTTTGAGATATAACTTACATACCATAAAACCCACCCTTCACCCATCTTGTTTGGTGAATTTTAGTACATTTCCAAGGTTGTACAACTATGTATAATTTAATTTTAGTAACTTCATGGGCAGATCCTGAATCATGCATCCCGAATTCTCCCAATCTCTGTCCTTCTGACCCCTCTACTCTCTCTCAGATTCCTCTGCAGCTGAGGAGAAATGGCTCTCAGCCCTGGAAGGAACACGATGGTTGGATTATGTCAGGTACTGTCTCATTTTCTAGCCACGATTTAGAATTCAACCCTCCCCAACCTTCTGTTAACTTGAACTCCTAAATGGCCTAGCACTAATTCTTCTCTTTCCCAAGAAGACTCTTTTGCTGCTCCTTAGGAGAAGGGGCAGAATTTTGGAGTCGGCCTCTATTCCATCCCATGACCTATCACTCCCTTCCTCCAGGCTTAGCATTCTTCTCTCCTTTTTCTCATCTGCCCCACTAGGTCTTGTCTTCGAAAGGCCAGTGACATCTCGGTCCTAGTGACATCCAGGGTTCGCTCTGTAGTACTACAAGGTGAGTTTCTTGGGTTAACGTACTCCATTCCTTCCTTTTTCCTTTATCCACTCAACTGGGAGGGAAACCTGTAAGTCTTCCTTGCCCTCTTCTAGTGCTAGTATCTTCTCCTGTTACTAGGAACTACCCACGGGCCCTAACTCATTCTTCAGTGCTACCTGTGCCTCATAGTAGTACTACTCCTACTAGCTGTAGTGCTATTATCGCTTGTGGTCCCTAACAGTAGGGCTCTTCACCTTCTGTTCTCGTCCTTCCATCAATGGATGGTGACTGGGGTTGGGATGGGAAGGACAATGTAGAAGCTGGTCTGAGATTTATGATTCTACCTCCTGCACATGAAGCTGGGTATTTCGATCCAGGTGGAGTCTACGGACTGAATCATTCAAGGTCTTAATTTTCTCTTCTGTTTGCCCTCTCAACACTACCTACCCAAAACTTTAACCCTCTATGCCTCTCTCTTCTTCTTGCCACATTTCCTTTTCTCATTTTCTTCTGCCCTAGTTTCTTGGCCCCTCTTCTTTGTCCCTTCTCCCTCTTTATCACCCAGAGCGCGGTGATCGTGATTTCAATGGCCTCCTCTCTTCACTCGTCCAGCTGCTTTCAGCCCCTGAAGCCCGAACACTGCTTGGCTTCCAGTCACTAGTGCAGCGAGAGTGGGTGGCAGCTGGACATCCCTTCCGGACCCGACTTGGGGTAACTAGAGCCAGTGAAGAGGTGAGATCATTTTGGGAGAGTACTGGGGGGAGGTATTACCAAAGATGTAAGAGGATGAGAAAACTATATAGTGTACTTCACTGGAGGTGAAACTGGGTTAGAAGGTTCCTGAGATTAGGCTGAGCTTGAAGGGAGACCTAGATGAATGAAGCACCACAACCCCCTACTAACCTCAATCCAGATTTCCATTCCCTGACCTTAGGGGCCCTGTCATGTCTCTTGTCCCTCATCACCATCCTCCTCCTCTATTAGGTGCCCACAATCGCTCCTAACCTCGTAATTTCCCTCCTCAGGCTCCAGTGTTTCTCCTCTTCCTTGACTGCGTCTGGCAGATCCTCCAGCAGTTTCCAGCTGAGTTTGAATTCTCAGAGTTTTTCCTTCTTGCTCTTCATGACAGTGCCAGGGTTCCTGACACCCTCACATTCCTGACAGATACTCCCTGGGAGCGTGGAAAGCAAGGCGGACAGGTCAGTGACTTCCATTTTTGATTGGTCTTTTCTTTTCCTGGAGAAGCACCCTCTGAAGTTTAGTCTTAATTTATGGGAAGTGAGGTCTGCGGATGGGAAGGGGGGAGGTTGGTGCTCATTCTCATGACTGGACTTTCACCCTACATCTGATTCCCAGAGGAAGAGGTGAGCGTTTTCATGATTTCTATACAGACTCGGGAAAAGGATTATTTTTCTGTTTAACCATCGTTTTTCTTGTTTTTTCTGTCCAGTTCAACTCCTATACACAAACCTATACCCCAGGGTACTGCCCACCCCCTGCTGGGAACTCTGTTAACTCACAGCTGTCTGTCTGGGACTGGGAGTTACGCTACAGCAGTGAACAGATGCTACAATTCCATAATCCTGGCTATGACCCAGAACACTGCCCAGATTCGTGGCTTCCTAGACAGCAGGTGAGAAGTCTACACTTCCTAAATTCCCTTGCCTTTCTCACAGGCTAATCCTACTAGATAGGGAGAAGTGGAAAGACACAGTGCCTGAGTTCCCCAGGGAAAGCGGCCCCACACTTCCTCTGTAGCTGTCACATGTCTTGCTCTTTATGACAGTGCCAGGGTTCCTGACACCATCACATTCCTGACTGTCCCCAGCAAGGCAGAAATCCTAGAATAGCACAGAGGGCATCCTTCTTGTTCTCATCTTTATTAGTTTTTCTCTTACACACCTTTTACAAGTTTCCCTAAAATTGACTTTAATGAGACCTAAGGCCTAGCTTGAAGCCTATTAAGAGAGTTCTCTGGGGGAGGCCTGTGGTTCAATCACTAAGGCAGTGTGAGTAGGTGGCAGACAGACATTTCCTTCCTGACCCATTTTGGGGAAAGTGGGGTCATCTGGTTTCTAGGTTGCCAGTTGAATTTCTCTTTTCCCTTTAGCCAAGCTTCATGGTTCCTGGACCCCCCAGTTCTGTGTGGCTCTTCTCCAGAGGGGCCCTGACTCCCCTGAATCAGCTCTGTCCTTGGCGCGACAGTCCCTCCCTGCTGGCAGTCTCTTCTCGTTGGCTCCCTCGACCAGCTGTCTCCTCTGAAAGCCTGGCTGATCAGGAGTGGGGGCTCCCCTCACATTGGGGGGCTTGCCCCTTACCCCCGGGGTTGCTGTTGCCTGGATATTTGGGACCCCAGATCAGGCTGTGGAGACGCTGCTACTTGAGGGGAAGGCCTGAGGTCCAGGTGAGGAGGGGAGACCGGGATTGGGAGTAGGAGAATGGGTTTGACTACTAAACCAGATGTTTTGGGAGAAACCAAACGTTTCTAGGAGCTGGAAAAGCAAGGGGCTGGGGAGATAGAGAAGTGAAGTACTATTCCTGTTGGTATCCAAGTGGATAGGTCTGAGAGTGTGTACATGATGGGAATGCAGACAGCTTGTCGCTCAGATCAAGTAGAACAGTTGGAGGGGGAAAAGAGAAAGATGCCAGCGGTGATGGTAACTAGACTTGTCATGGGGATCACTTTGTAATGTGTAAAAATATCAAATCACTAGAATATGCACCTGAAACTAACAGGATGTTGTATGTTAATTATCCTTTAAAGAAAAAAAAAAGATGCTAGTAGTGGACAGATCTCAGAAACAGGGAGCTAGAGCTACAATAATATTCCTCTCTGCCTCTCTTCACCCCCTCCCCAGAAAGGCCTCTCGGCTCCCACAGTCTCCGGCCTCCAGGATGAGCTATCCCGTCTCCAGGAGCTTTTAAGGAAATGGACACCAAGAACATCTCCTGAGGATCACTCCAAGAAAAGAGACCCAAATACCATTCTCTCCCAGTCCCATTGAAATTACTGTCTTTCTTATGGGCACGGCAGAGGGCAGTCCAGGGTGAGGGAGCCTTCTGTCTATCTTCCGATTTTTCTTATCTGGTCTTGCTGTCTCAGCTTTTGACATTCCAGCGCTCAATAGGCTCACTGACCTGACTTTCTGTTGCAGATGGGTGGTGCTAACCTTCCCTAATGCTGGCCCTGTCCTGTTTGGTTCCCCAAGATAGGTTTCTTGTGGTTTGAAGAATTAAGAAACGAAAGCAACCTAGAACATTACCTTTTTTTCAGGGCAGTTTCATCTCCTTGGATATCCAACTGTTAAAATTGTGAGATGAGAAATGCTATTCATCAGTCTTAACACAATGGCCTACAGACCTCATTCTCACCTCCTCTTGTTGCTTCCTTAACCCCAATTTCTGTTTCTTCCCTGAGTATGCAGTGGGTGTGTGAGGCACTGTCTCTTCCGAGTGTATATTTTATATACTGACATTTCTATTTAAGGAGTTCATTAAAGCACCATATTTATACACACATTGCTGGCATTCTCTCTTGTGTCTGAATAAAAGATCCTAGGTAAAGGGTGGCTGGGTGGCTCAGTCGTCATTTAAGCATCTGACTCTTGATTTCGGCTCAAGTCATGAGCTCATGGCTTTGGTGTCTGAGGTCCGCATCTGGCTCTGCGCTGACAGCAACTTGGGATTCTCGATCTCTTTCAAAAACAAACATTAAAAAGATCCTAGGTAGGAAAGTGATGGGTGTGAACAGGGAGAGGATGGCACCCATCAGATCATCCTTAAGGAAATCAGGGGATAGGTCAGGGGAAGTCCACCCGCAATTGAGTTCTCTTTTAAGGAGCAGATGGGGCGAAAGACGTTGTTGCCGGGCCCAGCGTGTTCTGAAGGTTGAAACTGAGGCCTCTCGGCTTCAGTGTCAACTACCCTTCAGCTCTGGTCACTCTCCATTTCTGAACCCCAAGTTCCCGTTAGCCGCCCTCACAGCCACCACGAGCAATAAAGACTAGGTGAGCTAACAGTCAGCGGTCCTCTCCCCTGAGGGAAAACGAAAGGCCTCAAGCCCAGGCTGGGGCCGAGGCCACCGCCGCCCGGGCGCTGTGGACCGGGGTGGAGAGCCGCCCCCGCGTCTCAAGACGGCAGAATCCTTGAGGTGGGGGCGTTTCCTCAGCACAGCCTTCGCTGGGGAGCAAAAGGATCGTTTGGCAACAAAATATAAAAAAGTAAAGTTCTGTTCCTTCAGTTCCTGAATTTACATCTTTGGGAGCTCTAACGTCCAGCATGGTCTTATGAGGGGCTAAGCATTCCCACCCCGCCTTCGTCGGAGCCTCGCACCGCCCGCAGGAGCAAGTTCTCACACACCCGTCGCATCCAGTCTCCGCAGATCCTAAGATGGCCGCGGCCGCTTCCGGTTCCTCCCCCGCCGCGGCCCCGCCTCCCGCCCTCACGGCCGCGTTCGCCCCGGAAGCGGAAGTATGCCTGGGTTCAGAGGGCGGGACTGCTGCCTGGAGACGGCGGGAGCTCTTTCGCCATGGCTGCCGGGCCGATCTCCGAGCGGAATCAGGGTGATTGGAGAGGATGAGCCCGGAATAGGCCCGGGGTTAGCTGGGAGGCCTCGACTGGGGCTGGCAGTGTTTTCGCCTGGGCGAGAGATCGGGCCCCCCGGAGGGCGCGAGCCCGGCCCCGGTGCCTGCCGGAGGCGGGGGGGGCCGAGCGTTAGGCTGAGGCCTATAGGTGTGGTGCTCTCTGGGCCCAATCCTTTCTGCCTTCCCATTCAAAAAACAAACCAAAGAACCCCGCAGAAAACAAAAGCCGAAACCAAAAACTGAATAATTCACCAAGAGAATTTGCAGCAGAACCTTTAGATTTCGGAGGGCTCTTTAGTTCCTGGAAAGAGGGAGGTATAAGGGTTTAACTGAATTTTCTTGTTTTCTCTTTGCACCTGTATTCCCTCTCCGCTCTCACCTCCCCCGCCTGTCACCTCCTTTCCTGCCATTATTTCGTCCTTGTCCTAATCTCCCATCCTCTAGATGCCACTGTCTACGTCGGAGGCCTGGACGAGAAAGTTAGCGAACCATTGCTGTGGGAGCTTTTTCTCCAGGCAGGGCCAGTAGTCAACACCCACATGCCGAAAGATAGAGTCACAGGTCAGCACCAAGGTGAGTACATGACAAGGGGTGCCTTTCTGTATTGAAGGGACAAACCGTTGTTGGAAGGCTCCTGATGTTTTTGGAATGAATTACCTGCAGGTTCTTTTTCTTCTTTTAATTTTGTTCGGAGAGAGAAAGAGAAAGAGAGCATGAACAGGGGAGGGGCAGAGAGAGAAGGAGAGTCCTAAGCAGGCTCCACATTGTCCACGCAGAGCCTGATGTGGAGCTTCCACTCATGAATCTTGAGATCCGTGACCTGAGCGGAAATCAAGACTTGGATGCTTCACCCACTGAGCCACCCAGGAGCCCTTGCAGATTCTTTTAAGCGTAGGCCCCCCTGCCGGTTTCTGGAACCATTCCCAACTGAATTGAAGTTATTTCTCGTTCCTCGTGTTTTGGAAGGTGAATGAGTTATACCCCGTTTTGAATCGCTGACGTTGTTCATCTGCGCTCTTTTACTCCCCAGGCTATGGCTTCGTGGAATTTTTGAGTGAGGAAGACGCCGACTATGCCATTAAGATTATGAACATGATCAAACTCTATGGGAAGCCAATACGCGTGAACAAAGCGTCTGCTCACAACAAGAACCTGGACGTGGGGGCCAACATTTTCATTGGCAATCTGGATCCAGAGATTGATGAGAAGCTGCTCTACGATACTTTCAGCGCCTTTGGGGTCATCTTACAAACCCCCAAGATCATGCGGGACCCAGACACAGGCAACTCCAAAGGTTACGCCTTTATTAATTTTGCTTCGTTTGATGCCTCGGATGCAGCTATCGAGGCCATGAATGGGCAGTATCTCTGTAACCGCCCTATTACCGTGTCCTATGCCTTCAAGAAGGACTCCAAGGGTGAGCGCCATGGTTCTGCAGCTGAACGACTGCTGGCCGCCCAGAACCCGCTCTCCCAGGCCGACCGGCCTCACCAGCTGTTTGCCGATGCGCCCCCTCCGCCCTCAGCCCCCAATCCTGTGGTATCCTCCCTGGGCTCCGGGCTGCCTCCACCAGGTAAAGCTTTTATGCAGAACACTTTTGCCTTGGGTTTGGGGTGGGGGGTGGGGGGGCAGGAAGAAGGAAAAAGGACCCGATGCAGGGGGACATGGAGTCCGTAGGTGATGAGAAAGGGATTGAGGGGTGAGAGCTGTGGTGGGGAAGAAGGTTGTTGGCTTTCTCGAGGAGGCTGAAGTTGTTGTCCTGAGGGGCCCGGTGTTGCTTCTGATTTGGGGGAGCCAGGAGGAGGGGTGAGAGCTTGTCCTGCCTGACGAGGCCGGATCAAACAGGCTCTTTAAAGACATGCTCTTTCCCTGTCCTTAACTTTTCTTCCATTTCCCCCATAGGCATGCCTCCGCCTGGGTCCTTCCCACCCCCAGTGCCGCCTCCCGGAGCCCTTCCACCTGGAATACCCCCAGCCATGCCCCCCCCACCCATGCCCCCTGGGGCTGGAGGACATGGCCCACCGTCAGCAGGAACCCCGGGGGCCGGACACCCTGGACACGGACACTCACATCCTCACCCGTTCCCACCCGGTGGGCTGCCCCATCCAGGTGGGTGTTCTTTGCTGGGAAGGGGAGGGAGGAGCTTGGCGGAGGAGCTCTGTGGCCGCTTGTGCTGCTGCCCTTGTCCCTCACCAATGATAATAGAGTCCCAGAGCTCAGCTTTCCTTCAGACCTTTTTTCATAAAAACAAACACAAAGTACTGTTCTTTGTGTTCTTTGTGTTGAAGTAAACTTTAACGGCTACCACCCCGTTTCCACATTCTTCTGTTTTTCTAGAGAGTATAACTGTACTTGCTTTTTTTCCCCCTTTAACTTAAAAAAACTTTTTTTAATGTTTTATTTATTTTTGAGAGAGAGACAAGAGTATGAGTGGGGGAGGGGCAGAGAGAGAGAGAGAGGGAGACACAGAGTCTCAGGCTCCAGGCTCTGAGCTGTCAGCACAGAGTCAGACGAGGGGCTCAAACTCAGGAACAGCAAGCTCATGACCTGAGCCAAAGTCGGACGCTTAACCGACAGCCACCCAGTTGCCCCCTCCCTTTAACTTACTTCGTTTTTCTTCTCTGACTTCTACCCTAAAGCAGTGACCTACTTGCCAAATCTAGGGGACACTTCCATTCCTTACCTGGTTTGCCCTTTGGTATATGTGAAATTGGCCATATGTTGTCCTGTTTGAAATGCTTGTCTGTCGGTTTTACTGGATTCTTCATCGATCCCTTGACTCCTCAGTCTCAGCCGCCTTCATGGCTTCTTTATCTCTCCATGGAGCTGGGTTTTTATATTTGCCTCTCTTCTCTGCATAGGCCCAGTACTTGCACATGGATGCCTCCTAGATCAGTGTCTCTGGTCTGTAACTCTTAATCCTGCTGTGTGACGGGCTGCTCCACTTTGCCACCCTCCCCTTCAAACCTGCCCCTCCTCCAGTATCTTTGTTCTCAGGTGCTTCATTGAGAAATCTGAGAGCTATATTATTTTATTTTTTTTTAATGTTTTTTGTTTATTTCTGGGAGAGAAAGACAGCGTGAGCAGGGGAGGGTCAGAGAGAGAGGGAGACACAGAATCTGAAACAGGCTCCAGGCTCTGAGCTGGCTGTCAGCACAGAGCCCAACGCAGGGCTCAAACCCACGAACCGTGAGATCATGACCTGAGCTGAAGCTGGCCGCCGCTTAACCGACTGAGCCACCCAGGCGCCCCTGAGAGCTATTTTAAACTGGTTCCTATCGCCTCACTCTAGATGCCAAGTCTCATGAATATCTCTGAAGTTGGCCCCCACCGCCAGCGCCCTAGGTCAGCCCCCTCATACTATGTCACACCTGACTTACCGGAGTAGTTTTCTCATGCTTTGACTCCATTTTCTCTATCTCTGATCCACTTGCACGGAGTCATTCTACAACACGGGTGTTCACACACCCTCGCTCAGAATTCTTCTGTTGCTCCCTTTTACCTGAAGAGTAAAACTCAACACTTGTCACCATGGCATTCTAAGCTTTTCGTGACTCGGTGCCCGTTCATTGCTCCCTTGACTGTCCGCTGCTGTGTAGTTGTCTGAGTTACTGGTTTTCCGCAAACACCCTATGTTGTTGGATGCCCCTGTGATTTGCAGCTGCTAGTTAATGTTCGCTGCCTGGAATGTTCTGTTCCACTTCTTTGTTCACTTGAAAGATCTGTACTTACTCTTTAGAATCCGATCTTTGCTCGGACAGGGTCTTTGCTCCCTTCCCAAATCCTGTCCTTGGAGTCATCGCTCCGTCTGTTCCATACTCTTGCAGCACCGTTACGGCGTCTCGGTCGTGGACGGCGCAAGTGAAGTGGGTGGCTGATTTGTTTGTGACCTTGGAATGGGGTTGAGGATAAGGGCACTTTGTACCAGCCCTGTTTTCCACACTCTTCTTTTCCTGACGTCACTTCTTTCTCTGTTTTGCTCTCTTTTTCTTTCCTTCCATTTTCTTT